CCCCAGCTGATTTTTTTTGATTTATTGTAGAGATGAGGTCTCACTGCCCAGGCGGGTCTCGAACCCGCGGGCTCAGGCAATTCACTCACCTCAGCCTCCCAAAGGCGCGGGATTACAGGCTGAGCCACCGAGCCCGGCTCAGCAAGGGTTATTTTTAAAAAACAAACCTAAATGATAAAGATGGCCACTCATTTTGTTGCCAATTTTGATTGATTAAGATAATGGTTTAGGATAAAAATAAATTATCTCTTTTATACTGCATTTGTGAAAAATAAAGGATTAGGATAATAATTTCCTCCCCAAACTATAAACACAGAAGGTCATTATATATCCATCTGGAACTTAGGAATAAATATGAAATCATATATTCTCCTTGACTGCAAAGAAAAAGAAATACTTTCTAACCCATCCCAAATTCTTGACTGTTTCAAGAGCCATCCAGTTGCTGTCAACATATATTCTGCTTTCATAGTGGGACTCTAATGACATATCCTCAAAAATGTACTCTCTGAATTCAGGCATTTTGTGGCTATTCTTTAGAATTATTAGGCAAAGACAACAGCTGTTTTGTTTAGATTAAAAATGATTTTCATATACAATAAAAGTGGTGAACTAAGATTTCTTAATAGTGAGTTTCTGCATCTATTTTTATCAGTCAAGATTGATTTACCATTTTCTTTTCTTTTTAGGGTTTGGTATCAAGTTTATGCTGGCACTGCTAAACAAGTTAGAAGTTCTCTCTCTGTCTCTATCTCTAACTCTATTTTTTCTCAGATCTTTCCTATTCTCTGGACATGTTTGCTAAGATTGATGATATAGCTCTTTCTTAAATATTTGGTAGAATTCATTAGGGAAGCTCTCTGTGCCTAAAGTTTTCTTTGTGGGAAAATTTAAACTATGAGATAAAATTTCTTTATTAGTAATATAATTATTCATATTTTGGATATTTCTGTTTTATTTCTGTACATTTATTTTTTCAGAAATGTTAATTTTACCTAATCCTTTAAATATTTTGGCATACAGTTGTTTATAATGTCGTGTTGTGATCTTTTTGACATCTGCAGGATCTATAGTAATATTCCCCTTTTCATTACTGGTTTTATTTTATTTTATTTATTTTTTTTAAGTTGGAGTCTCACTCTGTCACCCAGACTGGAGTGCAGTGGCCGCTCCTGGCCACTGCAGCCTCGACTTGCTGGGCTCCAGCAATCCTTCCCAGTAACTGGAACTATAGGTGCGTGCTATCATGCCCGGCTAATTTTTTTGATTTATTGTAGAGATGAGGTCTTACCAAGTTGCCCAGGCAGGTCTCGAACCTGCGGGCTTAGGCAATCCACTCACCTCAGCCTCCCAAAGCACTGGGATTACAGGCTG